TTTTTGTTGTTCTTCTAGGAACACGAAGAATCAGACTGACAATGGAATTCACGCCAAGCAGGTATAATCGGTTCTTATGAATATAATAGGTTACTTCTGCTAGTATTTTATGGTTCACTTTTAGAAGTACCTGTTCTTTTGAGAAAAATTTAGAAATAATGGGAATCTATCAGATTGGTACTTGAAGTTACAATGGGGGGTACTTGAGAATCGGTAACTTGTGACAATAGTATTCATGTGAACGCACTTTTACGAATATTTATGGTTTTTAAAGTGTTCAAGGGTTTCTACCCTATAGATTAAGGTGATGACTTGTAAACAATATTTCACAATAGATTTTTTTTAATAATAATTGGTATGGTCATTAACTTTGATAGTTGTTTATTATAATTAATATTAAATAAATATTAATATTAAAAGCATTGAATGTTTTAACAAAAGGTAAAATATCGAATTTTTAGGAATATTGTTCAAATAAAAGTTGTTTTTCTATTTTATGGAATATATCTGTTATTTACGCTTAGAGAAGAAAATTTGTCAAATAAAAATTGCTTGTAATATTATTCTCTATAATTTTTATTATATACATAATTTTCCTAAAATGGTCCGTATTCGAGAAATTTGATAAAAAGTGCAAAATTCGAATATTTTAGAAAAATTTTCAATTAAAAGTTGTTTGCGATATTATTCTCTATAATTTTGTTCTATACATAATTTTTTTAAAATGGACCGTATTCGAGATATTTAAGAAAAAGTGCGAATTTTGAATTTTAAAGGTAACTCAAAAACAAAGAGAAAAACATCAAATTTTAAATTTAAGCTTTAATCCATCCTATGGTTAATCGTTTAAATTTTGGGCACAGTCGAAACATCTGGGGGAAACTTTATAGAGGGTTGTTTTTCTACTTTATGAAATATATCTGTTATTTACGCTTGGAGAAGAAAATTTGTCAAATAAAAGTTGTTTGCGATAACATTCTCTATAATTTTATTCTATACATAATTTTTCTAAAATGGACCGTATTCGAGATATTTAAGAAAAGTGCAAATTTTGAAGTTTAAAGGTAACTCAAAAACGGTTGAAGAGAAAAACATCAAATTTTGAATTTAATCTTTAATCCATCCTACGGTGAATCGTTTAAATTTTGGGCACAGTCGGGACATCTGGGGGGTACTTTATAGAGGGTTGTTTTTCTATTTTATGAAATATATCTGTTATTTACGCTTGGAGACGAAAATTTGTCAAATAAAAATTTCTTACAATACTATTCTCTATAATTTTTGTTCTATACATAATTTTGATAAAATGGACCGTATTTGAGATATTTAAGAAAAAGTGCGAATTTTGAATTTTAAAGATAACTCAAAAACGGATAAAGAGAAAAACATAAAATTTAAGCTTTAATCCATCCTACGGTGAATCGTTTAAATTTTGGGCACGGTCGGAACATCTGGGGGGTACTTTATAGAGGGTTGTTTATTTATTTTATGAAATATATGTTATTTACGCTTGGAGAAGAATATTTGTCAAATAAAAATTGCTTGCAATCTTATTCTGTACAATTTTTGTTATATACATAATTTTCCTAAAATGGCCCGTATTTGAAAAATTTTACAAAAAGTGCAAAATTCGAATATTTTAAAAAAATGTTCAAATAAAAGTTGTTTGCGATATCATTCTCTATAATTTTGTTCTATATATAATTTTTCTAAAATGGACCGTATTCGAGAAATTTAAGAAAAAGTGCGAATTTTGATTTTTAATGGTAACTCAAAAACGGTTAAAGAGAAAAACATCAAATTTTGAATTTAAGCTTTAATCCATCCAACGGTGAATCGTTTAAATTTTGGGCACAGTCGGAATATCTGGGAGGTACTTTATAGAGGGTTGTTTTTCTACTTTTTGAAATATGTTATTTACGCTTGGAGAAGAAAAGTTGTCAAATAAAAGTTCTTTGTGATAACATTCTCTATAATTTTGTTTTATACATAATTTTTCTAAAATGGTCCGTATTCGAGATATTTAAGAAAAAGTGCGAATTTTGAATTTTAAAGATAACTCAAAAACGGATAAAGAGAAAAACATAAAATTTAAAATTTAAGCTTTAATCCATCCTACGGTGAATCGTTTAAATTTTGGGCACAGTCGGGACATCTGGGGGGTACTTTATAGAGGGTTGTTTTTCTATTTTATGAAATATATCTGTTATTTACGCTTGGAGACGAAAATTTGTCAAATAAAAATTTCTTACAATACTATTCTCTATATTTTTTGTTATATACATAATTTTCATAAAATGGTCCGTATTTGAGAAATTTGATAAAAAGTACAAAATTCGATTATTTTAGAAAATTTTTCAAATAAAAGTTGTTTGCGATATCATTCTCTATAATTTTTGTTCTATACATAATTTTGATAAAATGGACCGTATTTGAGATATTTAAGAAAAAGTGCGAATTTTAAATTTTAAAGATAACTCAAAAACGGATAAAGAGAAAAACATAAAATTTAAAATTTAAGCTTTAATCCATCCTACGGTGAATCGTTTAAATTTTGGGCACAGTCGGGACATCTGGGGGGTACTTTATAGAGGGTTGTTTTTCTATTTTATGAAATATATCTGTTATTTACGCTTGGAGACGAAAATTTGTCAAATAAAAATTTCTTACAATACTATTCTCTATATTTTTTGTTATATACATAATTTTCATAAAATGGTCCGTATTTGAGAAATTTGATAAAAAGTACAAAATTCGATTATTTTAGAAAATTTTTCAAATAAAAGTTGTTTGCGATATCATTCTCTATAATTTTTGTTCTATACATAATTTTGATAAAATGGACCGTATTTGAGATATTTAAGAAAAAGTGCGAATTTTAAATTTTAAAGATAACTCAAAAACGGATAAAGAGAAAAACATAAAATTTAAAATTTAAGCTTTAATCCATCCTACGGTGAATCGTTTAAATTTTGGACACGGTCGGAACATCTGAGGGGTACTTTATAGAGGGTTGTTTATTTATTTTATGAAATATATGTTATTTACGCTTGGAGAAGAATATTTGTCAAATAAAAATTGCTTGCAATCTTATTCTGTACCATTTTTGTTATATACATAATTTTCCTAAAATGGCCCGTATTTGAAAAATTTGACAAAAAGTGCAAAATTCGAATATTTTAAAAAAATGTTCAAATAAAAGTTGTTTGCGATATCATTCTCTATAATTTTGTTCTATACATAATTTTTCTAAAATGGACCGTATTCGAGAAATTTAAGAAAAAGTGCGAATTTTGAATTTTAATGGTAACTCAAAAACGGTTAAAGAGAAAAACATCAAATTTTGAATTTAAGCTTTAATCCATCCAACGGTGAATCGTTTAAATTTTGGGCAGAGTCGGAACATCTATGGGGGTACTTTATAGGAGGTCATTTTTATATTTTATGGAATATATCTGTTATTTACGTTTGAAGAAGAAAATTCTTCAAATAAAAGTTACTTACAATAATATTATTAACATTTTTTGTTCTATACAAAATTTTCCTAAAATGGTCCGTATTCAAGAAATTTAACAAAAAGTACAAAATTCAATTTTTTTTAAAAATTCTTTAAATAAAAGTTGTTTGCGATATCATTCTCTATAATTCTCATCCTATACAAAATTTCTCTACCAGTTGATTATATGCTCATTGATGAACTGAATTTGTTGCTTAAATAAAACAAGATCGGATAGGAATGTCCCTTTATTTCTTTCGTGTGTAATTCTTGATACAAACTAACATATCTTTGCAACGCCAATGTACTGCTGAGACGTAACTTGATTGAATGTATTTCGACGCCACCGTTGCGTCGACGCGACTGCAACAAACGTCCGCTAGCACTAACCCTTAAAATGCGGATGTTATTTCATCTTGTAAATCTGAACGATTTATCATGATGTCTGCATTGAATATGTTAAAATACTCGATAGGGATTTCTTACTAAAGTTACGTTAAGAAATATTTTACTCGGAACGCATGATGCGTCATTTATTATATTTAAAATAACAATATTTGGTCCATCTACATTGGCCTGATGTAACACTTTTTCCAGATGAAATTTAGCATCAGTGGGTCAAGTGAACTTTTCGTTAAACCTTCTGGACATTTCTCTGACTGTATTTAAAAATGTATCTATAGATTTTGGATTTTTGTTAGTTGTCATGCATACAAACTTTAACATAATGACTAATTGAGAACCTCCTCCTTTTTTGAAGTCCTTTAAAACATTTATTTTCACCTCTCTATTCAATAATTTTTTGGGGGTTTTTCCGTCCTTAAAAGATTAACCATAGGCGCACACAACTGTCATCAACAGTTGCTAGTTTATATGCAAAAAATCAGGTCTTTATTATTTCTATTTAAATCATACAACAAAAGTGTTCTGCCACTGTAAAGAAAGATTCGACTGTTTGTATTAACCTTGAAGATGACAGCTTACGTAAGCACTAAACAACGAATAAGGTACCTAAGTACTATTATAAATACTAGTTTTTCAAATTTCCCCCTAAATTGCTAAGTAAAAGACATTCAAAATCATATTATAGTTCATATAATCTACATTTTCTATAAGCTTTATTATAAGAAATACTTATTATAAACAATTTCTTTAGGTACTCAGTTTACATCATTTTCGATAACAATAATAAGGTATATACGAGAAAGAGAGTTTAATATTAAATTCATTTAAATATTACTTAATGATTTTAGAATGTAAAAATGCAAGTGTTGACTTAAATATGGTAATAATAAAACTAGTTTAGTCACAGTTCGCTTATCCTGCTGCTATATCTGTATATGGTTATTTATAGAACAACATTTTAATTCCTTCTACAGAATTGATAACACACAGATGACTGACAAGTGGAAATTTAACAAATACAACCATTTCCAATAAAACGGAAACGATTAGTCATTAATTATGTTATTAATTACTGAATTAGATGTTAAATTAAAATTACCTTTTGTAAATAAACTGCTTGAATACAACTGTGTTTTATATCCATGTGATTTCGTCAAATTGAAGAACTTCACAAATAATTTACTAACTATAACTCACTATTAATCAACCAGCTGATGTTTATCATAATTTTACACCTCCACGACTTACCGTACCGAATCTAACACCATTTTACTACTATCAATACGGGGAATACGGCGCGGTTGTGAAGGTTGATTAAAATTTTGTCGCTGGATACACAGACAGCGTTGCCAACCTCGAAATAAATTTTTCCTTCTATATATTAAAAAATATCCTCACATTAACAAAATCGGTTATTAAACAGAAATACAACCATGTATATATTTTTTAAAATAGATTTATTAAAATAAAAACGAATGTACATAACAATGCATGAAAAGCATAACCTAAAAAATATAAATATTTCAACAAAATACGTTAAATGTTGAGAATTCCCGTTTAACGGGAAATTTCCCTACGGTCGGCAACGCTGTACACAACCAAGTTCGTGCATGACCATTGCATGACGATACACTGCACTATCTCTTTCATATTTAGAATGTTTTCTCTTTCTCTGTATCGCTAAAGCAGAACTCTAGAGCTTTGGCCGGAGGGAGATCCGAATAGTGTCCGAGAGTAAACATCGTTGTAATGTGATTTAATAGACTAGTGAATAGGAACACAAAAATTGGAAAATTTAATAACTTTTTAAATTTGTAAATGGATCTTTTTTTGCTTTTTTTCGGAAAGATCACATTAAAATACATAAGGTCCACTTTGTTTCATCCAATTACAAATTAATGTAAGCTCGAAAGGGCTTTTTTCGTTATTTAATTGGACTAGAAACTTGACGATTTTGGAGTTAGATACAGTTTCGCAGCCCCTTATGACTCCTGCAAAGTAATAGAAATATATTACAAAGGATCCCGCACAAATCTTATGGGAAATGACTGCTAATAATAGTATTTTCAGTGCAATATACAGGGTGCCCCCTATTTATTTAAAATATAAAAGATGTTTGCGATATCGATCTCTATAATTTCTGTTTTTTATAATAAGAAATGAGTTCTAGTGCAACGTACATCAATGCAGAACTTTATCACTCAAATTTATATTAAAATATCAAATGTTAAGTTTGACATTGTATAAGATTTACAATGTAAATCCATGTAGCCACGTTTTAAAACACACACGACATTGGTAACTTTTGTTCAATATCTACATGTCTGAATTTCAGAAGAATCTCACGAAAAGCCATTGCCCATAAGATTTGCAGCTATGTTATATTTTTGACCTTCCAGCAATCCATTAATTACGTTTCTTGTCATTCTAAGAGTGTTTCGAATACCTTAAACTTTTACCCTATTTACTGGACTATAAATGAAAAAGATTTTTATCGTTGTCGGTGGGGGACTTGCGGGAGTTCTTGTTGCGCTTGATGGAATGATCGTCGCTCTGTCGTTGTGATGGAGTTCAGCATGACGTCACACCACGAGCATTCCTAAAGTCGAATGGTAGTGTAGTAATCTTACAACGTACGAGAGTAGATAGGTATAACGTGGATGGATAATTCTATAATATACGATGAATAGGTTACATATCTATGAACCAAAATGTTATTGTAATATAACTTTCCCACAAAGTTGATCTGAAAATCCTATTTTCTAGTCTTATGTACAACTTAGCGGTGACTTTTTAAAAAACCATTGTGTAGAACTTTTAAGGAGGAATTTAATGATGCAAACCACTTCTTCCTAGTTGAAACCATAGTAAAGTTATTTAACAAATCGTTTTTCTCTTAAAATTCAATCTGAAAGTCCTATTATCTTGCCATACAGACAACCTAGCATGAATCAATAAAAACCAATTTTTAGAGCTTTTCAAGAGGAATTTAATGATGCAAACCACTTCTTCCTAGTTGAAACGATAGTCAAGAGAATGCACAATGGGCCTAATGAGACCTGACCCACTCTCCACACGTTATAGATACAGAAACAGATGGTTTCTTCGAAAATGTAAATCAGCATTTGTTACTTATTAACCGTTTTTGTTTTCTGTTTATATTGATCTTTTTATGTTACGATACTTCTCTGTAACTAATTAACTTTTAAAATGTACCTGTCAAAGCTAGATAGCTCTAACTCAGCCCTTTATATTTAATTGTATTTAGAAAAAGTGTCCTTAGTAAAGGTTAGTAAATTACACCACACCAGGCGATCAGTTGTTTTGTGATGTAATATAAACCAACGAAAACTTATACATTACCGAACGAAAGATATTGGGTCTGTTGCATAGAAATAAACATACCTAACAGAAAAGAATTTTAAATTAATTAATTTTTAAATTATATGATTTAAACAGTTTATATCTACGAAATATCGCCACAAAATAACTTATAAACATTTAAATAATCAACTAATAATATTTATGTGTAATTACATTCCCAAAAATATATACAAATACCGTATTAATGTCATTAATACCGTATTTTTAATGTTCAATAAGCGATTCACCTACAAATTCAATATTGACCTGGCAATAGCACTAAAATCCGGTGTTTCAAGGCTATATGACGCTGCCCTTACAGGACCGTTTGTAGTTTATTATTTATGCCGCGTTTGAGAATCCACATCGGATGCATCTGAGATGTAGTAAGTAGTAAATCTTTGATCACGTGATTCAGTATACCTAAATGTAATGGGACAGATGTGTCCAATGTGGATAAAAAACGCTCGAGATGTAAAAAATGCATCCGATGTGGATTCTCAAACGCGGCATTAATTACACGATGAAAGTGGCATTTTATTTTTAGTTTTGTGTAGTGTTTAGTCAAATCCTAGGTACAATAAAAGACATTTTTACATTGGCTAATGAATTATCATGTATTAGGCAGCTGTTATATTTATTACAAGATTTATGTCTGCAAATCTAAACCTACCTAAGAATTATAATTATGTAAATAGAGAGCTGTATATTTATATACAGGCTGCCCAGCGACGGAGAGACATTATCGATATCGGTTTTAAGGCATTTTAAAACATAAACCCGATCTCAACAATCTTAGGAACTCTTCTGTCACTCGATATTTTAATCGGTACTTCCTCTTCGCTTTTTGGCTGGCACAACAATTATTTACATTTCTTCATTCCTTACCGCGTTCGAACCAGTAAGGTTTAAAGAAATTAAAAAAAAAAACCTACTTTAAAAATAAAGATGTTAATGATTTTCTTATGGATCCCATCTTCAGATCTTGACTTAATGTATATAAAACTGTTTCCTTTTCTAACAAACATAATCCTAGAAATCGGGCAACGTGGTAAAGAATTATCGCTCAACATACATAAAAAAATATTTCAACGAATTGAGAATATCCTACCATTTTGAAGTATGTTAAAAAAATTATTAATAAAGTGAAAAGTAGGGCATGAACATATATTATAAAGTATATAAAATGATAGATAAATCCAGTTTAGAAGGTATTATAAATAAACTGTGGAAATATCGAGAATCTCGATTTTGAATCGGAAAAATATTCTACGCAATTTAGTATGAAAGCTGATCAAAATGAAACACATGAACGACAAACTGTTATTGACAACTTTCTTTAAACGTTTTCTATTTTCCGAAAACTAACTAGATAGTTCGAAAATAATTTACTTCGTTAAAACGCCTCTTGTTCCGAAAAAGGTACACGCCTGTCAACATTCATCGTTCATTAAAAAAGTGGTAGATACAAAACGCTTCGTATTGTAAGGCCAAAATATATTTAGAAATCGAAATATTCATATAAACAAAAAAATCATATGAGTGAGATAACTACCAAATTAATGATTTACAAGTTTATTCCTATTATTTATAAAATAGGTTTGCAATGTGCTGGTGTGGAATGTTATCATCGACTAAAAACTTTAAATCTTTGTATTAAATTGATCGAAAACAAACTATAAATTGGTTTAGGCTATATAGAATGTTTCTAGTAAGCAGCAACTAATTTTTATTATGGAACCGAAAGACCCTTTTAAAAAGGTTCAAAATTAAAATAAAATATGTACCAAGTAAAGGTAGTAGTATTTTTTAATTTATATTGAAAATGGTAACATGAAAGGTTTTCTGTCTAACGACTCATAGTCTCGGCTGACAAAATGTAAAAAAATATCGAACATAATATTCCTGGGCCCTATTTTGCACTCCCCAGATTAAATTTAGTTGTAGCAAATGATATTATCAAATAAGATGTCAAATCACAAGCAAAATCTCGTGACTACAGTACTAATGATTGCCTGTTTGGAAAAGTATCTTTGTTTGTAAATATTTATATGCATAGTTATATTTAAATGCGCGAGTGTAATGTTAAGTATAAACAAAATCCGCCCATTATGTATATAAGTTTAGTTACCGACCCTAGTAGATAGGCAATTTGTTATTGTTTTAAGTTTTATCGTAGGGAGAGAGAAAATCAAAATTAGGATAAATGGTCCAGCTCCTTTCTGGTTACGTAGGTACCTAGAAAGTATTTTAGTTTTTGGTTAAGTAATTAATTATTGTAACAGTGATTTTCTTGTGATAGTACCTAATTTAGATTGTGGATTAAAGTTTTTGTATATAATTTCGCTGTTTAATAATAAACGTAGTCAAAACCGGAGCACGTGGTTTTTCTGGAAAGTATTTTTAAAATCACAAGCAAAATCTCATGACTACTGTACTAATGATTGCCGAAAATTAACTAATTCATATTTTATGCCATATCTTTCTTAATAAGGACTGTCAGAACCATATTTACCTTAACTTGAAATTTTTTTAATCGTTTTTTGTATAGAATCATCTCTAAAAATGTATGATTGAAATATCGTGCGAACTATTTGTTCGATCAATAAAAAACTTGCCCCGGTCCTGTTCGCGCCAGCACCGTTATACGCATGAGCTCCGACACACTATTTTCTCCTTATGGTTTCATTTTTGATATATGGAATCGGCTTTCTATACTATTTCTATGGTTTATATTGATCTTTTTATGTTACGATACTTCTCTGTAACTAATTAACTTTTAAAATGTACCTGTCAAAGCTAGATAGCTCTAACTCAGCCCTTTATATTTAATTGTATTTAGAAATAGTGTCCTTAGTAAAGGTTAGTAAATTACACCACACCAGGTGATCAGTTGTTTTGTGATGTAATATAAACCAACGAAAACTTATACATTACCGAACGAAAGATATTGGGTCTGTTGATGTAGTTCATTCCTACACCAGCA